CGCATGGCTGTTTCTCGCTAAGCATTCTGCTAATCCTGTTGAGGTCGACGTTTCGGGTGAAGAGTTTGTAATTGACAGATAGAGTATCATAGCGTTCGGACTACAACTCACAGGTATTGGCTTCCCTCCGCGAAGTAAAGTCTCACATTCGGCAACTCGCCGTGAAAACTTTTCAAACCGAAGGCGTACCTAAAGGAATAGCTTTACCGCCTCGAGAAAAAAACACCACCCTCACACTTACATCATCCATACAGTCTGCAATATCAGCAGCATGTTGTTTAGCTTCGTCCCTTATTGGACCGGCCATGCACAAAAGCGTCTGTATCTTTGCTCGTTCTTCCTAAAGCAATCAGTCATACCCAATTCACTATAGCCTCCGATTGACTTTCATCAAATACCTTTACAGCCAGCTTGAAAGTATGGAAATCTTCCAGCGTAGCCGCATCAGCTACTCCCTTCCCCATGAATTCTGTTAAACGGCGTTCACCCTCTCCACAAAGCCAGTCAACCAACACATGTCGTGTCGCATCCATTAACACAAATTGCTGACACCTGCAATCATTTCACGCATACATCAATGCACAACAGAAGGCTGTCAGTAATTGTCTTTAAAATTACCGATCCAGCTGCTTCTTCTTTTTAGTCCATAATTCCAGAATTTTTGATTGCCGCTCACGTAGATCCGACTTCATGCGAATGATTCTTTCACTGTCGAGTCTGGAAAAGAAGAAATTGAGTCCTTTTCGCCTATTGAAAGCTACTAGTATCGTACCTGTTGTGAACGCCGGTACCCGAACTAGTTCTTTCAATATACTTCAAGAAAAGTTCACCTTCGATTTTACAAAAGATCATGATGATGTTATACCTAAAGCTCTCTAAAAAAAACTAATAAATTGAATAGAACAATAGGCTTCACACTTGTTGTTATGTCAAGTTTGACAATCAAATTCTCTGCATCATGGGATTTAATTTTCAAATTCCCAGTACTCGTATACCGAGAATTTAAAAGGTAAACTTCACGACTTCATGTTCATGATTTTCAGCTTCGACTTCGAGGATTCAAACTCACAATTTACAAAAAAAAANAAAAAAAAATCATTCAGCATGACTTACTTTCAGCAGCTTGTTGCGCTCTTCTGCCAACCCGCTTAATCTTCTCCATCGCCCGGTAACCATTTCATTCAACTCGACTACTGCTGACCGATCTGTTGATCCCTCCCGAATGAGCTCATTAGAAAGCTCATAGAAAACACGAACAGAATCCATATTATTCAACTAAAATGGTGTTTTGAAGCAAACAAGAAATACAATCAAGGAAATGAATCAGGAAAGGGAGACCTCAATTCTTTTGATGAATAATTCATGAGCCTCCTGTGCACGCAGAGCTTGTTCTAAATCGACAGGAACTGTGCTCATTACTTGTAGAGCTCGTTCTTCACGGTCAAAAACGGAGACTATCTCACGCACGACGTTACGAATCTAAGTTGAATTGACGCTCGTTAAAGTTCCAAAGAAAAGTATAAAAGAAGCGCGATAACCTACCCGCCCCAGTTTTCGAGATCCTTCAATTCTATAAGACGTCTCAGCAGCATACTGAAATGGTTCGACTTACATTGTTATACTTCCCTTTTTAGAGTCAAATTATTGTATATGAACACCGCACTCCTCGTGGGCGCGGTTCAGCTGATGGATCACTGCGCAGATCCATCCACTGACCACGACTGCATGTGCTCGAGGACTATTTCAATAAAAAAAAACACCAGAGAAAAATGGAATGGCTAAAAGTGATCCCACCTGCATAACTTGATGTTCAGCCACTTCAAGAATTTTCAAGTTCTCTCTGATTAAGTCAGTAACACTTTTTCCTTGCCTGGTCCGCAAATCGGAAAAGCCATTACCGTGTATTGACTGAAACAGGCCAACTGAAAAAAACCACAAAAGGGAGCAACTCACGCTTTAACAGACCTGCAAAACCTCTTGAGCGCACTTGCGAATGTTTTTCACGGCCATTTTCACTTGAGCTGTGTTGTCTTGGTGGAATGGAAGAACTTTTTCTGCGTTACCAGCGAATGTTGAAGACTCCAACATCCCACGCATGTCTTCCTCCCAGCTCTGAAATTTACGCTTCACTTGAAACAAGAAGCCTGTTTACATATGACTGCTTCCTACCCGAATTTGAGACAAGACTTCACAATTGTCACGAACGAACACTGCGAATCGAAGTCCAATTTGCAACAGCACACGTTGCGGGTTCCAGATGTTGGACAATTTACTATTACGACTTTCTGGAAAAACGATACTACAGGAAACTTCTGAAAAAATTTAGTTAACTGATCTTAGAGAGTTGGGCTCATAGTCTTCGTCGAAGAAGGAGATGAAGATGAATTAGACAATGATAAGAAGAGGAACTTGGACATATGGGAGTCCCGCCTTGATGTTCTACTGAGTGCATATGCTAAGATCCTTAGGGATGGGTTTATACAGCAGTTCTGCCAATAAGCGTCATTTAGAGGCATTCGAACTATGGTTTGAGATAAAATGAACTTATAGGTTTTATGGGCTTCGTCCTTTCTATATTCAAATTGGATTACTTAGCTCTTGAATGGTTCAGAATGCTTGTGCTCAAATGTCGAAAGTTCAGAACAGCCGTTAGTTAAAAAACACCCTTCGACTTCAAAAATAGGAGCGAAAAAACTAGGTGCCTGTACTGAACAACTGAATATATAATACCACAAAATCGTTTCGAACCAACGGAAACCAGAACTACACTGACCAATGTTTCGAATCAGGCGATTGATGCATGCCATGTTGCTAGTGTAATCAATCCCAGTATGTTGTGAGTGAACCTCGAGCTCGCGTACAAGCTGAGTTCCCTCACCAATCGTGGTAGCATACGCCTGCATCAAATTCAAAATGAACACCAGTAAGTAGCAACTCAAATGCTATAGATACCTGAGCCGTCCCATCACTTTCATATAGCCACTGCTCCTTACTTCGTTCGCACGCCTCAACTTCAGAATCNACAACCCTTTCTGCATACTTTTTCTCCATTTCATCATACCAAGCCATGATCTCGTGATAATGCGTGTGAAACAAAACAGATTGATTGAGCAAATTGAACCTAAATAAAAGAAAATTTTCGTGCAGCTCAGAAGAGAATTAACACTTCCGACCTAGCTTCCACACGCTGAGTGAACTGTTGTACCCGTTGATCCAAATCGCCGATCATGGCTCTCATTTTCTCTGCATCGCAAACCCCTGCAAAGAAAAGCATTTCATGAAAACGAAGTCTCAGAATGAGCTTGTCATTGCTAAGATTATTAGGATACAATTTGGTTGAAAAATATAACGATTCGAAGGTGATCTGACAGTTCTACGGAGCTCAAACTGCGCTACCGTAAAAGCTGGTGTGCGTCATATTAAGTGGCAAACCTGATTCCAAAATTGCTTTGCTGGCTTCGAAAAGCTTGTTAGCATTCGAGTATGTATTTCTTGCTATCTGGCGAAAATGGCTGTGATTCCTCTGCAGTGTACGTGCTTGTTCGACCGTTTCCCCTAAATGCTGACCATAAGAGATGGAAACAGCGTGTGGGTGTGATTGAGTGCCTTCAAGAATAGTCAAACCTATGCTTGTATTCTTTGTCAAATACGGATCTCCGTGTTGTTCAAGCCATTCCACAACTAACTGTGTATCGGTGCGGAATGCAATCAGTGCTAACATTGAATGCAGTCGAACCTGCAACAGATTAACAAAATACGGGAAGAAGTAAGTTGCGCATGAAATTTAGGCATCAATATTCCGACCATAAGAAACTTTAATGGTCGAAAAAACAGGACTATAAAAAACAAAAACAAGTCTTAGCCATAAACCCTTCTAATTACCACCCACGTAACTACCCGCGTATGATCACTGCAGACATTAGCCCTGGAACAACAGTTCTATTTGAATCACACAAAAGCCCAGCGAAAGAAATTTAGAAACTGAGGGTAGAAAACCGAGTAATCCTAGCAAATGCAATGAATTCAGCTTCAAGATAAGAAAATGTTCTACCCTTCTTTCCTTCCATAAGCAGAGGAGATGTTTATGAGCTCTTGTAATCTTTCCTATCTGATCCTTTGAAGGTGGATCATCAACGTCCACTGACTTAAGCAATTGCGTCAACTGGGAGCCTTGAGCAACAGCCTGAAGCATAGTATTCATACTGGAAGGGAAGCAAAGAAGACCTCAAGCATCGAAGAAAGATAGCCAAACTTAGACGCAAAGTTAACAATCTTGTCAGCTCACAAACTTCAGAATAGACCGAAGAGAGAACATATGTACATTTCCAACAAAAATTCTATTTCAGTACCTCTGCATATGTCTCTTCAACGGTGGACCAGAACTTCTCGTGTTGTTGAATGGCCTCCTCTAGAACGTCAGCCGTTTTTCCACTCATGCCAGCAGGGTCGACTCCAGGACTATCAACCCAGCTCGGCAATTGTGAAAAATACTACAAGCAATCAACAACACTTCGGAAAATATGATTCTTATGTTAAATTAAGCACGCAAATCCGTAGCCTTGGGACTCACCACTTTTGAAGCACTGAAAAAGGCGACGGCAGCACCTAATATGAGCTTTCGTTTCACTAGCTGTTCTTGGAAACGGGCCCATTCTTCTTCCAAACGTAACTTTGTTCGTTCCAGCTGGAAAACGAGATAATTTGTGCAAAAACAACACCTATAATATACTGTCCTCTTGATAAAAAACACTGGGTAAACAACACTCATTTACTTGCAAACGAAACAGAATGAACGAAATAAAACATTTCAAACTGTCTATCTGATTTCTTTTCAACAGTTATATGGAACAAAACATCAAGAAAGGAAGCTCTCTACATTTTCGTTATGCATCACAAAAAATAGATCTAACCTTGTTCCGAGAATTCTGTCCACCAATCGACCGTAAACGAATAGCTATATTGGTGACTTGAGTGATGTTCACCTCAGCGCTCTAGAAAGAACAGAAACCTTCAACTATGGAAGGTACAGAAGCAGATATGATCGCTATAGCAGTTCCATCTTCATCTAGTCCCTTTGCTTCCACTTCACAACAATTAATCAAATTTCGAAGAAAATTTACGAACTACACATTAATTTGGCACCACAATCCGTGCGTAGAGGCGAAAATAATGGCCATTAGGACGGTAAGAAGGCGAAGACGTGAGTTCCGCTCAGGGCATAAATTTAGACTAATTAACTGGTTCAATCCTCCCTGATTTATACTATTCGGGTAAACGGGATAGGGCAAACGAAGGGATAGACGCGCAAAAGCTTCCCATAAAGAGGATTAGGCCGCGTCCTTCTTTCTAATCACTAAATGCATTTTCACTAGAAGAAATGCTACGACTGAACCTTCAGACCTTTCTATCACAAACAAAGTGATGGAAAAGGAGAGAATAGATTAATGGAAGAAATAAAGGCGGGATCAAGCAAAACGTCAAACACACGCCATATAATGCCTATGGAAATAGGACACTTACATCCGCTGTCGTTGAAAACTCCTCGAATTCGCGAAGCTTTTCAGACGCCTCCATATCGTTTACACCAATATCACCCATGCGTCGCGATAATGCATCGCAGTGCTTTCGAGTCCAATCCAACATCTGAAATGCTATCCTTATACGGCAAGTGGGAAACATGGACTCGCGAGATATCTGAAGATATGGTCGTGGCGTGCAGCCGCTCCCAAAACTGTTACCTATTCAAAGGCAACAATAAAATCTCAATGGAGACCATACCTCATCAGCGTCATGCTCGAAAAGCTTCATCTGATAACATCCCTCAAGCTCCACACGACGTGTTTCCCACTGTTTGAAGACATCGTTCCTGCAAAAAAAAAATCGAGGCGTAAGCTATATTTTCAAAACACTGCCAAACAAATTCTGCTAAAATATATGCCTACAAACTCCTATTAAAACTCAAAACGCTAACTTTAAACTCCGTAATGACGTGAGAAGGTTTGCCATGTGTGGAATTGACGACATGAGATCCGGATTCGAAATTCCACATTGAGCACGATTGATTCGTTCACTTATCTGCATAGAATGAAGCTATTAGGTAGGTACAAACCCTAATTTTGAAGTAAAACAATGGTCAACGATGGTCTGAACTTACCCTATCAGATTCACTCTGCAGACGGTCAATCGGTATGGAGTAATGACGTGAGAAGGTTTGCCATGTGTGGAATTGACGACATGAGATCCGGATTCGAAATACCACATTGAGCACGATTGATTCTTTCACTTATCTGCATAGAATGAAGCTATTAGGTAGGTACAAACCCTAATTTTGAAGTGAAACAATGGTCAACAATGGTCTGAATTTACCCTGTCAGATTCACTCTGCAGACGGTCAATCGGTATGGAGAAAATCGCTTTCTTTATCGAGGAATGTTGTGACAGAGCGGATTCTGCTGTAGTTACATCCACAGGAAATTGTGCATCTGCCATTGATCTGCGCTGACATTCCAAATTTCGCATGACCTCCGAAATCTGCCAAATCCAGCGTTCCAATTCCTGTAGTAGCAGTGAATATCCCAAAGGCCAATCAAACTGAGCATGTTTCGAACATAGCATTCAAAAAATCTAGTAGAAACCCGAAGGACCTTTTCGAGATAAATCCAATACGCGGAATTATTTGCCTCTTTACCATTAAAATACATTCCAAATTTCGCATGACCTCCGAAATCTGCCAAATCCAGCGTTCCAATTCCTGTAGAAGCAGTGAATATCCCAAAGGCCAATCAAACAGAGCAAGTTTCGAACATAGCCTTCAAAAGAATCTAGTAGAAACCCGAAGAACCTTTTCGAGATAAATCCAGTAAGCGGAATTATTTACCTCTTTACCATTAAAATGAACTCAAACTACTCTGTTGTTAGCTCAACATATGTGAACTCATACAGATTACTGAAAAAATCTAGTAGAAACCCGAAGGACCTTTTCGAGATAAATCCAATACGCGGAATTATTTGCCTCTTTACCATTAAAATGAAGTCAAACTACTATGTTGTTAGCTCAACATATGTGAACACATACAGATTACTGAGTGGATGACTTACCAGACGCGTATCTAACCAGTCATCATGATCGTAAGGAAAGGAGCCGCCGAGATCTCGTATCAACTGGCTCGGATCGATAAATTTCGACAAAGCATCAATGGAGATCATATGTACCTCAAAGAAAACAAAATAACACAAGCTGTATATAGTGCAGTTATGACAACGATATCCTGCTACATAGCTTTTATGCCTGCTATCTCGACGAGATTGTGACTGCTCATAATTTGAGAAAAATAACTTTATGATCGGGCAATTAGGACTAGCTTTTGAGAAGAGACAGAAGTGCAACGCCATCTCGCTTGTTAGGAACCGCTTGTAACAGAAAAATGAAGGGAGGGTTCGACTTTGACTGGTAAGGGAGGCTTTTGACCGATTCATATAAAATGGAAAAATTGTAAGAAGCTGAAACCTTAAGCCAGTGAATCCCATGAGAGTCACACAAAAGCAGAGTATCGAAACCCGGTTCGACGAAGATAAGCTTTCATATAGAATTTTTAGCAAACGCTTCCGGTTTCTCTAGAACATTGTAGACTTTCCGAGAGAAAAAAACAAATGCATTATCAAATCAATGGTGTTCCGGCCAAACTTAATCTGATGGAGGCCATATAGAAGTTAAATTACTGATAAATACTCAGTCATACGTGCTTTTCATAGTCAGACGTGCTTTAGAAAACTCCAAGAGCCTAAGAGCATGTTCGCCTTTTGCTTCTCCCAGA